TCTACTCCTGCAGAGCAAATACCCCCGATTCAATTCAGTATATATTATTCCACTATTTTAGGTATGATGATCTCCGTAAGGAACTATTTTGAAAGCTCTCTTTAACCCCTGAGTATTTGATCAATCCTTCTTTCTGTCGGCATTTATTGAGGATACTAAGTGGGAGATTACCGAGGCTGTAGCTAGTTTTTTGTGTGGATATTCTTAAATCCAAACCTGACTAAGTATTACTGTATGTGCAATTATTTACATATGGTAAATCTTCTTTCCATTCTGTATATACTTTAATGTTATGCCATTAAAGGTTGGAATTGAATCTCCAGGAAAAGCTTCTCGGACACTGCCTGACCTGGTCAGTGGGTGGGGAAAAGAGAGGTGATAAAACTCATGGAAGCAAGGAGGAAGGCTCTCTTTTGTGCTGAGTCCATCAGAGAAGACAGAACTCTTAACTGAGGTCTGGAGGAAGCAGCCATCAACCATATGCTGGCCTGAAGAGCTGGAAGAAGCTGCAAGGTAATGGAAGTCTATAGAGATCTGTAACTTCCTAAACTATGAAGCCTGTCTTAATAAAACAACAACAACAACAACAACAAAAATACAAAAATCTGATAGGGCATGTATAGAGAAAAGGACAGAGGAATTGTATTTTACCTGTTTCTTCAGAATCTCTTGCTCAGTCTGGTGCTGTGCTTAAAAGTATGCTTGTGAACATTTTCTTTTTAATAAATACTTTATAACTTTTGATGCTGGTAGTGGTTTTCTGTACCACACAGACCTCCATCATCTTGGACATGCTATTTTAAAATAAGCACCAGGGGGAAGCAGCCGTTTGGCAAGTGGCTATTCCTCCAAGGGCGCACAAGGCAGCAAATGGTCTCTGTGGTGATCAGGCACTGGGCAGTGGGAGACACAGAGGCAAGGCCTCAGAACATGGAAGGGAAGCTGGGAGTCCTGACCCTCCCAGTGGGCAATTTCTTACAAAGGTCAGGTGGTGGCAGTGGTTACCTGAGAGAAAAAGAAAAGCCTCTCCAGGTGTTGGGAAAACCTTGGCGGACAGGTTGGAACCAGGCCTGTAAGCCAGAGTAGACCTGTTCCGCCAAAGGTCTAAACAGAACTGATGTAATTTAGCATTTGTCGATTCTCTGCTTGTGGAAACACAGAACTGCATGAACAATTAAAAAAACTGGGAACTGCTAAACTGAAGATGGGTAACTGTTACATAGCCAATAAATATTTTACAGTATAATATAAAATTGAAGTCTTCAACAGAAACCAGAGTCAGAGCTTCAGAGTATCTTTAATTAAAAGAAACTTCTGCACTTGAAAAGACATTCTCTTGTGGGGTTCTCTCTGATATTGCTTATCAGAGTTATCCTTTTTATTAGCAAAACATCATAATGACAGCCAACAGAGGCAAGGATTACTTTTCACTGGACTGACTGCAAATCATTTTGCCTGTTAACACAATTTTAATAATGGAGAGCACCTCTAGATTTTATGGCTCAGGTTACATTACCATTTACTGCCTATTGCCATTGGTTAATGGTATTTCTTTAGTGTAGGCCTGCATGAACTGTGATCCAGCAAGCTGAATGTAACTTCCCAACTGAGTATTGCTAAGTGGAAAGTAAAAGCACAACCTCCTTCCCTTCTTTTGCAGATCTAGAGACAGCAAGAAAGGAATTCTATCAAGCCCCCAGCACAAATGATGATCTGCATCACCTTTTGCACAGACTAAGAGGGTGAAACCCTAAGCAGAGTTTTTTGTTGTTCAGTCACACAGATCCACTTCTAAGTCCACTGAAGTTTTGGGGATTATAATACTCACAGACTTGCAGGGGCGAATAAGTTTTTTTGCTTTGTTTAATGTACGGAAGTAGTTCCACAAAGAAAAACTACTTTGGAGATGTTCTTGGGCGCGTCTAATGTGTGGTGGATGAATGAGAACTCAGCAGGAGGGATGCAACTCCTCCCCCTTAAGCATGCAAGGTGAAGCTCCATGCTGGTGGGAGGGAATTATTTCAGCCCATTTTATAGCTCCTGAAGTTTCTGATATTGTGCTCTGTGCAGGTGCAAAAACCATCAGTGTCATGCAGAGGACACTAAACAGTGATATTTTGTGACACTGTTTATTCATCAAATGACATATTTTATTCGTAACTTGCTGGGTTTTAAACAACAGTTTTGTTATCAAGAGATGCCTATGCATGTATGAACCACTCCATGATATGCTATGTAAGTTAGACACTCGGTGAAGCCAATTTGATGATTACTTTGTCACAAATACTGTGTTCTCAGCACATGCTGTATCTCATTACTGTGCTAAAAGAGTACTGTGATTCAGCTTTATACATCTGTAAATGGAAGGTAGTACCAGCATTCAAGTGTAACAGCGACTGGGGTCTCTTTGCATTGGAGCATTGAACAGTTATGACAGCTTTAAATCCATTCTGTGAAGTACAATGGCGCTATTAGCAAAATGTAATTGTGAATATTAATAGATATGAGCTTATTACATGACTTATGAATCAGCTATTGGGATGCTAATGTATTTTCAAAAGCGGAATACCTTGACATCCCAGATAGCCGTCAACCCCCAGTAATGAACTCCACTCCATTATCTTCATCTGTGTTAAGGGAAAATGTTAATATACCTTTCAAAACAATTAATTCAGTACTAATTGTGACTGAGGCAGCTCATTCTTCCCTTTATCCTTGTACTGGTAGTTAACAGGTGATTTTAATTGCCATGGTAATCAGATATAATGAAGACTGAAAGTGTTACTGATTAAATATTTGCATCAGAATTGCTGCTGTAGACTTTTCTGTTCTTAAAAAGGAGTTTTGACTTTATGGCTTTATGTCTCCTTTTGTATGTACATATATGCCCTATAAGAAGGTCTTTAATTAAATTGTTATGTATGTTGAGTAACGAATGCCACTGCACTGGCCCATTTACAGCTGGGCCATTTGCATTGAGTGAGATTTTTAAAAAGACATTCCCAAATTTTGTCATGATTTAAAGACTTAAAGTAACCCTGCCCCCCAACCTCTTATGACCCGTGTATCTTCCGGTACTGGCAGCACACTTTAATTCAGACTTATTACTATGATTTTTGATGGGCAGCCTTGTAACAAGATACAACCCACTGACGTATTTACTGTGAGACAAAACTTTAGAGGCAGTAACATGAGTTGACTTACCAAAGGAGAATGAAGTAACACAATAGCAACAAAATACAATGCCAGATGACAAAACTGTATGCTGAGCATCCTAAGAAAATAAATCTAACAGTTCAGTAAGCTAAAACAGTAATGTATAGTAGCATGTGAAAGCTACTGTCACAATATGCGTCTACAGTAAGGAACAAAAAACACACTGAAACAAATAAAAGGATCTGAAATAAAAAAAAATGAATTATTCTGAAAAAGCTAATTCATCACTGTCAAAAATGTAGGGGGATATCTAAAACACTTCCTACAATGAACATCACAATCTAAAATGAAAATTTCGTATCTGACAGAAGAGTGTGACGATTTTGCCTATTTTGTATTATACGTGAGTAACCATGACAGACTGCTTTTGCGTACAAGTTTCACGCATTACTTGCAATGACACCTTGAAGGGGGGGGGGGATACTTTATAGCAGAGTTGTCCAAGTGCCCAGCCCACTGCCTCCTGCCGGAGAGCTCAAGGTGGAGCACAGCAGAAAAATGAGGGGCGGACATGCTTTTAGAACTATGAAGAGAGGGCACAAGTGGGAGGACATGTTTTGCTGCAGGCCCTGCGGGATCCAAGCTGGGTCACAAGGGCACAAGCGTGAGCACTCGGACATCCATTCATGATTTAAGAAGCTAAACCGATTCTCCGGTCAAATACTGGCATGTGCAACTCTGCGTTACGCGGGCTTGCGAATCCCGCCTTGCCTTTGTGACGTACCACTGTTTTCTAACAATAAGAATGGTCACTGGGATGTGTGACGCTTTCGCTTTCAGACTCTCCTCCTCCTAATTGGTTCAAACTCCTGAGCAGTACTGCTACCTCAACTCACCCTAATTATAAGCCTGGTTCTAGTACAAACTAATACACCTTGGCGTCTTACATAAGATTTGTCAAGAGAGAAATACTGTTATTTTTGCTGGGACTGAATCCTGTCAGATTTGCTCACTGGGTAGAAAAGACAAGCTACAGTCACACACTGGGCTTCCCCCCCCCCCTGCCCCCATGTGTTTTATGATTGTGAAGGATTAAAACTCTGCTTTGCAATAGAACTAAAACGATCACAGGAGGGAGAACAGCCAAGTGCAGGGTAAAGTAATCTCTCATTCAATCTAATACGTACTGGTGTCATCTCCCTTCTCAAGACAGTGAATCCAAAGAGATAGAGGATACAAACAGTGCATTTTAACAATCTTCTGGAACTTTTCAAGCTCAGATATTAGGGGCCTATTGATTCTTCTGCCCTCTTCTCCTTGCGCCCTCTCTCAAAGGATGCCCTCACGGGTAACATAGTGTCTTTCCAGGTAACCAGAAAGCTCAAGATACACCTTTTTAAAAAAATCGTGTCCAACTATCAGCCTAGAGTAAGGATCATTGAGACATCTAAAAAGTTACAGCTGAAAGAATATCCAGCCTCCAAGCTGCAGGACAAAGATTTCAGCTGCTACACTATTATATCTGCAGAAGCGCAATTAAAACGGTATGAACACACCGCTTAGAACTCACATACACACAGGTTAAAAAAAACTTTTTAAAAACCATTTGACTATATACAAATGGAAATATCACAATAACTCAACAGGAAATGCCTCGAAAGAGCTGACATAACAATCCAGCAGCAGAAATGGGAAAACGTATGGTGAAGATGGTGGAAAAGATACCTTGGGTTCTCCATATTTAATGCAACAATTAAGCATTTTTACTGCTGACTGACATGGGTCACAACTTGGATGGATACATCTTGTATCCATCGGTGCCTCTGCTACGAATGCTGCCTTACCTTTATTCATGTCTATCAGTTGTTTCTTCTTCTGTTGCCGCTCCAGCCTCTCACGTTCTGCTTTTTCTTTGGCCAGTTTGGCTCTCTTAATCTTCTCCTCCATCTCTTTTCTCTTGTTGTTTTCCTTCAGTGCGTCCTGCATTAGGAATGTGGAACACAGAATTTTTCCATTAGTTATGCATAGCAAATTGAGGAAACCTTGTTTGTGTTCAAACTTGGCTTGCATTTTAACAGTTTGAAGAAAAATACATGTCACCTTTGAAAGTGCCAGGTGAATAACATTTTCTAACAAAAAATAAACCCCAAACAAACCAAAACTAAAAATAGTCTCCTGCTTTCTGTTTGATTGAAAATGTTCACACACAAAAAAACAATACAGGACAGTAAATACAGGCACTGGAATAGTTTTTTTAAGTCTGTGTTAAAATTATTAATAGATTACACTTTCAGCAGCTGAACAAGTCCTGTAGAATATGGACAAAAATACCAGTGAAGCTTAGAAATAAACCTCTTGCCAAGTCAAATATTCAGAATCTGGGAGAACTTAACATCTAAAATACCAACCTCTAAAGGTGTGAAACAAGGTTGCATTTTACCTCCTCACCTTTTTAATTTATTTCTAAATGACTTAGCATTATCATTAGGGCCCATCAGTGGCCATCCCCCTAAATTAGGATCTTATGCAGTTCCTGTCTTACTTTATGCTGACAATACCACAATCCTTTCTTGTTCTCGAGTTGGTATTTTAAGATATTTACAAGCTTTTCACAAATATTGTCAAGACAATTCTTTAGTCATTAACTATTCAAAATCCAAAGTATTAGTTTTCTCCAAACGCTAGAATCCAAAAAAAGTGGTTTATAGGTAACACAGAAATTACCTAAGTAAAAAACTTTAACTATCTAGGCATCACCTTTCAACATAATTTAAATTAGGTAACCCATAGATTCCGAATCACCACTGTAAGTGGGCTATTACCCAGCTCAAACAGTTCTTCTTCACTAATGGTAACCAGTGTGTTCCTGCTGCAATTAAGATTTTTGAGGCCAAAGTTCTACCTCAGATGCTTTATGGCATCCCGGTCTGGATAAAGGCATTCAACAACAATTTAGAGAAAATTCAAGCAAGATTTTCCCGACAACTTTTAGGAGTCTCTAACTGTACACCATATTCAGCAGTTTGTATAGAATTGGGCCAGCATTTTAGTGAAACAAAAATTTGGCTAATAACCTTTAAATATTGGCTCAGGTTACATTTCCGAATTTCTTCAAACTCTTTACTTTCAGAATTAAAAAGTGATCTGTATAGTATTACCTGGCTTTCAACTATCGGGAAAAAAATCCAACAATTGGGCTTTTCAATCGATTCCTGCCCTTCAATAAATCTGCTATGTTTTGAACCATAAAACAAAGGCTTCTTGACCTAGAATTTCATAACTTAAATCCTCCGCAACCTCATTTTTCTTCCCAGGGCAAACTAAACCTTTCCATCCAGTAAGGGAAAATAGCCAGCTACTTTTACAACCTTGATCACCCTTCTCATTGTAGAGTTTTTACATTGGTCCGACTAAATACTGTCCCCTCAAAAATATTAACTGGTCAGTATAACAAAGTCCCTTTCCATGAAAGGTAATGTATCTGTCCTCTAAAATCGATAGATTCCTCTCCACTATACCCTAAACACTGTGTTAACAATGACAGTATAATTCAATGTCTATTAAATGACACAAACCCAGACATCACAGATCTGGTTGCTAGGTTTTTGGCTGAAGCGGTTAATGATAGATACAAGCTTTCTGTATGATCTGCCTTGCTGTCTCTGTAATGCCTCCTTGCTCATATTTTATGTATTTTATTGTATATTTTACAATATGTATTTTATTGATATACCATTAAAGGTATTTGATTTGATTTGAATAAACTATTGCCACTAAATCAACTGAAACACAACATTAATCTACAATGACATGCCTTTGGAAAAGGTAAAAGAGAATATGTATAGGGGATGGTATGATGGTATCTTATATAGCCTCCTTCTATGATGCCCCCCACACCATGCATGCAGCCACCTGGGCAGGACCATGCCCACTGGCTCCCTTGTTTGGGTCACCTTTACAGCGTTAGGGAATTGAGTGGCATTCCCAACTCAACTAACTGTGTAATCATACACCATGGCATGTTCCAAGAAGAAACAGAAAGAACATGTATCACTTTATACAAGCATTATAAAAAGAGATAACTGCAATTTTTAATATAATAGGAATTTGGAAAGTTCTTCAAAATATAATGTGCCCAATTAGTATTCGGTGAAAACAAAACATAAATATTTATTGTCTTTTCAAATGAAATGCTGCGATAATTGAACTTCTCTCCATCTAGAATGTGTCTAATTACCCCAACAGAAAATATCACTTGAAGACACAATTTTATTTTAGAAAAAAAGGGCTCATCATTTCGAAACCTACTTGGCAACCAGGACCACCTTCTCTTCAACATCTTTCAAACACTTATGTCTCTCTCTGTCTCCCCTCCCCCCTTCACACAAATGGCACATTAAAATATAACTTCTGGATTTTGCCAATTGTTAATTTCTTTCATTGCAACTTAATTAGAACCAAGCAGAAGGAATGAGAGTGACCTTGGTCCAGTGGCCTTTAACGTTTGGCCATGCAGAGGAGATGCAGGCAGGTGAATCAGCTGAACCTGAATCAAGCCAACAATCCCGTGTAAAATGGCATTGTTCAGGACAGCATTTTTATAAAGAGAATAGGACTGCAGTATAATAAAACGGTTCAGATGGGAGGTTCTCTGTAAAAAGAACAGGATTGCAGTCTATCCCAGTGCTTATTCTGTGTTTTACCATGTTCTTATTGCACTGTCTTCTCCTTTTATTTTGCTGTATCATGTCTTATACTTTCAGTTCTGTGCTGTTTCTTTCTAACTCTTGTAATCCAAATCCTATTACATTATTTACTAGATGTCTTATGTTGTCCGATTACATTGTTTTATATTGTGGGATCCACCTTGAAAGTCAGCTAGGCTATAAATAAAGACTAGCTATAAATAAAGTAAATAAACTAACTGACAGAAGTATACACTTTTCCATCTTGCATGAGTCCAGCTTCTCTTAATGAGTCATCATGGAGCCTGCTCCTGCTATACTCAGCACTTCCAGGTGTTCATTAGGAGTACTTTTCCTCCTTCCATTTAGGACAACTTCTGCAAATCTCTCTCCTGAGAGAAACTGGCCATACTCACTGTCTTTGCAAACTTAAGGCTAGGTCACTGTGATTACTGTATGAGGGACCTCACTTGACATTTGTTTGGAAATGATAACAATGCTGAGCATAGCCGGCATTATGGCTGAAAGTTATCATCCAGCCAAGACTCTTATGATAGCTAACCACGAATGGACCAATCTAGAATGCAATAAACTAGAAGGAAAATACAAAAGAACAAAAAGGAGAACAAACTAACCAACCAACCCAGTGTAACATCAACCTAACTGAAACAACTTTCTTTTTCTGCTGCCTCCTTAGACAGGCAGACTTCTTTAAGCAAAGAGTTCTGCAATAAGGGTACCACAGACAGGACTACACCAGTCACTATTATGAGTTGAAAGTGGTCACAAACAAGACAAGACCTCCACTAAAGATCTTAAAGCTTGAGGTGGAGATGTCTTCTGGTTCTTTTACAATTTATTTTTATAGTGTAATTTTCAAATATTTTATAGTGTGTCTTCATTTCACCTTGACTGGGATTTAAAACATAAAATTAATCATCCTAATGTGACAATAGGAAGATTTAAACTAACTTTCCTTTCTCAGTTAACATACGTGTGTTAGTGTTAACAAATCTGGCAAGTAATACACACTGAAGGTGGTAAATACGGCAGCAGGTATCTTTGACAGAACGTTTCTGACATGGGTAAACCATGGTAACACAGCAGGGTTCTAACTCATAATTGTAACATGCTGGATACAAGTCTATAAATAAAAACAACAACAACAAACTTCCTCACAAGGAAGAACCCCCCCCCCCCTTCCATACCACAGTTGGATAATGTACTGCAAGGGAGGCTATTCATTTTAGGAAGGTTGCTGATCTCTCTCTCTCTCTGTATGTGTGTCATGGGCCACCAAGATGCTTCTGACTTATCGTGACCCTCTGAATTAATGACCTCCCAAAAGTCCTATCGCTAACATCCATGATCAGGTCTTGTGAATTTAGGGCCATGGCTTCCTTTACCGAGTCTTCCCCTTTTGCTGCTGCCTTTAATTTTTCCAAGCATTATTGTCTTTTCCAGTGACTTTTGTCTCCTCATAATGTGACCAAAGTACAATAGCTTCGGTTTAGTCATTTCGGCTTCTAGGGAGAGTTTAGGATTTATTGGTTCTAGAACCCACTTGTCTTTTTCAAGGTCCACGACATCTGCAAAACTTTCCTCCAACACACTTCAAATAAATCCGTTTTCTTCCTGTCAGTTTTCTTCACTGTCCAGGTTTCACATCCCTACACAGTAATGGGGAATACTACAGTATGAATTTATCTTGATCTTGGTTGCCAGAGACACAACCTTATACTTAAGAATCTCTTCTAGCTCCTTCACAGCTGTCTTTCCCAGTCTCAATCTCCTTCTGATTTCTTGGTTGCATTTTCCCTTTTGATTGTTGATGGAGCCAAGGGATAGAAAATCTTCAACAATTTCCATTTCTTTATCATCAACCTTGAAGTTGTGTAATTCCCCAGGAGTCATTACTTTTGTCTTCTTGATGTTCAGCTGTAATCCTGCTTTAGCACTTCCTGCTTTAACCTTAATCAGGACAGGAGTCATTTCAAGTCTTCACTGTTTTCTGTCAGTAACGTGGTATCATCTGCATATCTCAAAATTGTTAAAGTCCCTTCATTGAACTCTAATCCAGCTTTCCTTATGATATGTTCTGCATACAAATTGAAGAGACAGGGAGATAAAATACATCCATATCTGAGACCTTCGCCAATTGGAAACCATTCTGTTTCTCTATATTGTGTCCAAACAGTAGCCAGAGTACAGATTGTGCATCAAATAAATAAATAAATAAATATTGGGCACACCCATTTCTTTTCACACCAACCGTAACTTTTCCTCATCTGCACA